TGAACCGCCAAGCAATATGTAGCGGGAGCGCGATTCCTGACTGTCGAGGAGCGGCATCTGAATAAATTTTGCGGAAATATCAAGCGGGAGCCGCGATTCGGTGGTAAGTTGCGAGGAAGTTCCCAGCGAGAGCGCGATTATTCACAAAAATGTGAAGAAATATCAAGCGGGAGCCGCGATCCTGTGGTAAATTGCAAGGAAATCCAGAGCGAAAGCGCGATTCTTCAATAAATTGTAAAGAAATGTCAAGCGTGAGCCGCTGTTGTTGTAAACCGGGAGCCAACAACACAGTTTGACCGCCAAGAGTTTCCCTTATAAAAAAGGTGCGAGCCCCGGGAACGGCACTTCACTTGAAAAAAACAATGTGCTCTGGACGGGGGGGTCAACAATAACTAGTCTTCAGGAGTGAGAATTCAACAACAACAACAACACCACCACCACCAACAACAACAACAACAACAACAACAACAACAACAACATCAACACCAACACAAATAACAACAACACCTACAAAAACAACAACGTTCCCGCTCGGCACCTCCTCATTACCATTCGCGACCAAGGAAGGCTCTAGCTGCTGGACGCAGAAAGCCGGGTCTCCCACACACAACTCTGGCGCTCATGCTCAGTATCTTTTTCTTGTTTTTTACTCAGGACCGGCGCGCCCGCCTCGGCGCCGCAAGCGGCTCCCCCGGCTTTTCGGGGGACCGCCGCTGCGCCCCCCCCCCCAACAGCAACAATGCTCCCGCTCGATACTTCCTCCTATTGTGCTCGGGACTCTTGCTCGCCGGAAAAGCCGGCTTTCCAACAAAACCGGCGCTTCGGCTCTATACGACTTCCGTGTTTTTACTCAGGACTGGCGTTCCCGCCTCGACGCCGCAGACGGTTCCCTTGCAACAGCGACGCTTCCGTTCGATACCTCCTCCGCTCTTGCTGAAGACTCCCAAGGAGGCCCAGGGGCTTCCCTTGTCTCTAGTGCCAGTCCTCACTAATTCAGCACGGAGAGTCGGATGTCTGCGCCCGTGCCTCCCTGGCGAGTTCCGCGTGCCAAGGGCGGCCCGAAAACCCGCGGCGGCAACACCGTCGCCCTCGTCGTCGTCATCGTCGTACGACTACTACGACCAGTAGTAGTTGTAGAAGTATTAGTAGTGATAAAAGCAGTAGTAGTAATACGACCACTACTACGACTATTGCTACTACTACTACTACTACTACTACTACTACCACTACGACAAAGACTACAAGTAAAAATAATAATACAACTGAAAACACTAACCGTACTGGTGCTGTTACACCTTCGCCGACGACGACGACGACGACTACTACTCCTACTACTACTACTACTACTACTACTACTACTACTACTACTACCTACTACTACTAGTAGTAGTACTAGTACTAGTACTACTACTCCTACTACTACTACTACTACTACTCTACGACTACGACTACTACTCCTACTACTACTACTACTACTACTACTACTTCTACTACTACTGATACTACTACTACTACTACTACTACTACTACTACTACTACTATCACTACGACCTCGACTACCACCACCACCACCAATACTACCACTACTACTACTGCTACTAACTACTACTACTACTACTACTACTACTACTACTACTACTACTACTACTACTACGACTACTACGACAAAGACTCCAAGTAAAAATAATAATGCAACTGGAAACACTAACCGTACTGGTGCTGTTACACCTTCGCCGACGACGACGACGACGACTACTACTCCTACGACTACTACTACTACTAGTACTACTACTACTACTATCACTACGACCTCGACTACCACCACCACCACCACCACCACCACCACCACCACCACTACTACTACTACTACTACGACTACTACTACTACTACTACTACTACGACGGCTGATACTTATACTACTGCTACTGCTACTGCTACTGCTACTTCTACTTCTACTACTACTACTACTACTACTACTACTACGACTACTACTACTACTTCTACTACTACTACTACTACTACTACTACTACTACTACTACTACTACTACTACTTCTACTATTACTACAACTACTACTACTACCACCACTACTACTACTACTACTACTACTACTACTACTACTACGACTACGACTACGACTACGACTACGACTACTACTACTTCTGCTGCTACTACTACGACTACCGCTATCTCTACGACGACCACTGATACTACTGCTACTGCTGCTACGACAGCTACTACGGCAATTACTACTGCTGCTAGTGTACGGCTACTACAACAACTACTACGACGCATACGACTACTGCTACTACTACTACTACTACAACTGCTCCTACTACTACTACTGCGACTACGACTGCCCACACTACACTTACCACTACTCCCAGTAGTACAACCACTATCATGACTACTGCTCAAATTACTACTACTACTACTACTACTACTACTACTACTACGAGATCTATTACGAATGCTGCTACCACTACTACTACCACCACTACTACTACTACTACTACTACTACTACTACTACTACTACTGCTGATACTACTACTACTACTAAGACTACACCCACGACGGCCACTACTAATACTACTACTACTACTACCGCTAATGCGGCT